GCCGATGCTGCATCAGGCCAGGCTGGGCCTGCTGCTTCCCCCCCTTCCCACCATGGCAGACTGGCTTCTCCCCACCTCAGGCTTGCTCCTCCTCCCTCCCCCCCCGCATAGGGCCTGGGCCCACTCTTCCCCTCCCCCCTCCACCACTACTGCTGCAGCATGCCTGCTCCTTCTCCCACCTGCATCGGGCCTGCTCCTCCCCCCACTGGTACTGCATTGGCCCTGCAGGCAGCAGTGATAGGAGGAGGGAGGGGCGGGCCGAGTACAGTGCTGGTGGCCATACCCCCCCATGGCATCCCGACCACGCTCCCCGCCACGCGCTGCCACTGCCACCTCCAAGGAGCAAATGGGGGGGCAAGGTCAGCCCCTGCTCCATCCTTGCCACCTGCAGGGAGTAGGGCATGGGGCTGAGGCAAGTGCTGCTGCGCCACCAGGGAGCAGAGCGGTGGCAAGGCGAGGCCAGCCCCCCCGCCCCGCGCATTCCCTATGTCCCTGCCATCATGGTGGCACTCTGTCACACCACCACTTCCTGGCCAAGCACTTATTCGCACTCTGATTGGCTGTTTCAGCCAGCCAATCAGAGCGTGAATAAAGCATTATGGACAGATGGACAGACGGACAGATTACAGCTTTTATAATATTAGAATACTGAGCAGTGCTGTGCTGTGGGCCCAGCCTAGTGAATTATATGATAAGTCATGAGCCTTATTCCTCTGAATTAAATTCATACACAGTTTGTACTAGGTATAAGTAGGCACAAAAGTTCTACTCACGGTGTGCTTATGGCATGCCTGCACTGAAATTTTCAGCAGTTAGGTTTGGGTTCAGAGTCAGACCCATAGCAGTCTTCTGTTCCTTGCTGCCCTCCTCCCTTATCCCCCTCCCCAACCCCCATGCAGCTAGCTCACTTTCACATTGTGGGGAGGGAACACAGCCTGAGTGAGGTCTGACACTAAGGGAGGACAAGAAGAAACTGGGGAGGGGGGCAGAGGGCAAGGGGACTACCCGACTCCCCAGACATTATTTTCCCTACTGTAGCAGTGGGAAGAGGATGACTTCAAGACAATAAACCAATAATTAGATTCTACACCTGGAAAATTAGAATAATTTTTCCATATACAGAATCTAATTATTGGGGACTGTCTTATATGCAGGGTCATCCAGTATTTGAGTCAATGTGGTATATGCTTTTTATGCACAGCAATATCATTTTGCGCTAATGCTTCAAATACACATTTATATGTGCTCTAAGTATATCTGGAGCTGCATCAATACAAATAATGTTTTAGTCAAAATTCTGATAGCTTGTACACCCGGGTAAAGAATAGGTTTTATATGCAAATGCTTATGTCTAGCAATCTCAAAAAGTAATATTTAACAATCACATTGTTAAATATGAATATTGCAATACACGTTTCTATTTCTAACATTAGGTATGAAAACAACTTCCTGAGCAAATGATGGTATGCTGTGGGTTGTTTTTCCATGTTTCCTGATGGTTGTAAACTGAATTTCAAACACCTGGCAGAAAGCCATAAGAATTCATTACTTTTGAGTAGTCTAAAGGGAATTATAAAACAAAGGAAAAGAGGGCTGAACTTATTTTTAAATTCTCTCTTCACATATTTTGTTTTTGTTTTATTCTGGAATGCTTTTACTTGGAGTAAGTCTGAACATACAGAAAAAATAGTTTTATAGAATTATGAATCATTCTCAAAACTGAAAGGTCTTTAGAGCTATGAGAATAATGAAGCACCTATCTTCACAGCCTAATAAAGAAGGAACTGTAGTGGTTTCAAATATACCTACTATAAGGAAAACAAACTTACAAAATGTGAGGATCTCCAGGAGCTTTTCCTTAAGGCTAGGGACAGACATTACACATAAATTGATTTCAGTGATCAGAAACTGGTTTAAACATGTAACAGAACAGACATTCAGTGCACATAAACCAGTTTTCAAATGGCTGAAACCGGTTTGAGATGAAACTGGTTGAATGTACGAGACTTAACTGATTTGTCTCAAACCTGTTTATGCATTGTTTATCCCAGAACCTTTGCTGGTTTGAGTTAAATCAGAGACCCCCAGCATCCTGGCATGCTCTTTGGGCAGGGCTCTCTGCTCCAGCCCAGCCAGGCTGTTTGAGCCCGAGCAGGAACCAGCAGGGACTCTGTTCCCTGGACCCCTGCTGCAGCAGTGAGGTGGGAGTGCGGGCAGACCTGGCTCCGGTCCCTGCCAGTGGCACAGGGAGGGCCAGTTCAGCCTGGGTTGGCCATGCCCTCCCAGCACAGCTTCCCTGCAGGCAAGGGCCAGCTCGAGCATGCCCTGAGTCTGGCCTGAGCAACTGCAGGCATCTCCCCACATTGCCTCAGTCCAGAGAGCATGTTTGTCTGGTTACAAACTGGTTCAGCCTGGGCAGGCTAGACTAACCTGCAAAGGTTGAATCAGTTCAGGCTCCGGCTTTTTGAATGTCTGTCCCTAGCCTAAAAGAATTGTTCTGTCAAATTAGTGTGCATCCCTTTCCTCTCCTAAAGCATCCTTAGCTTCTGAAAGTGAGAGAGCACACTTTTATGTCTCACTGGGACTTACTTGAGGTTCAACAATCCCATGATCTTTCTTTTTTTTTTTAAAATAGGTTTAGCATGTGCACTGACCATAGATTTCAGCCCTTACCTGAGGCAAGGATTTTTTTGGTGATACCTTTTATTGAACCAACTGGGAGAGATGTTAGACAGGGTTTCAGGCACAGAATGCCTTTCTTGTCTGTCCCTCTCTCAGACCTGAGGAAAGGCATTATGTGCCCATAAGCTTGTTTAGTATCTTTTCCAACTCTACCATTAGTCTAATAAAAGATATCACCAAAAGTTCCATCATAACCACAGCATCACTCCAACCCTAGCTCATTTTCCAGGTTATGACAGATGTCCTGGTTAAATGTCTCTTGCTACAATAATGTGTGTCAGTTTCCGTATCGTGTACACTAGGGAATGCGTAATCAAGGTAATGATGAAACCAGTTGGATATATTGACACATCTGGGGCCAAGTGGATTCAAGCCCCAGCACTTGAAGACTCCCTGTTGTTTCTCTGACGGGCATGGACTTTAAAGAAGCTCCAGTGTAAACAGACTGGTTGGAAAAAGTAGGTAGAGGGGGAAGGTAGAGTGAGAAAAACACACAAACTTGAGAGAGAACAGCCATGGCTGTTTACATGATTGGGACTCTGCCTAGGCATTTTGGTCCAAGGACTCTGCTAGCTGTATTGCTACTGAGTGATAAATGGGGTGGGGGGGTGGGCAAAAGTTGAATAAGAGTCCAGGGTAACTGAACAGGCAAAATGTAACTCATTTAATAACCCCACCAGACCACTTGGGATCTTGAGCCAGTATGTAAGCCACAGTAATCTGAACTAGCTGCCTACAAACTCCAGGGCAGGGCTGAACATGGACTGTGGAACTAGGGGCTGGGCCATGCGTGGTCCATTGGGGCAGGTGTTGTTCATAGTTGTGTTGGAGTACATGTACACCAGCTGTGGCTGGGCCCCATGGTTCATGTAAATGGGTACTGAGCAGTCTGTCGCTTGTGAAGATGGGCTATATCTATCGGTGGATCTACAATTTTAAAAAGGGAGGTGTATGTGGTGTGGTCCATTATTATATACAACCAGCACTTATTTTTCTTCAGATTAATAGAAATGAGAAACTTTACTCTAATATGCTAAGGGCCTAGAGCTATATTATTCAGTTAAGATCAAAGCAAATACAAACATAACTCTATTGGAACATGCATTCATTTGCTATGGCATACATGTATTAAAAAAATGTAACTAACTAAGAAGAATAATTAAAACATGTTGCTCCTCTAAGCCTGTAGTCCTTAGAACTGAATGTACATCTAGAACATAAGGAATGCCATTAACTGGTAAGACCATAGGTCCATGTTGCCCAGTCTCCCAGCGTCACATGGGCAGAGAGTGGAGGCTGAAAGAGAGTAAGCTGGGTATGACCAAGGCTCCCGACCCCCACTGTTGTTCTTCTCTAATCTGTGGCCTTCAACATTTAAGGTATAGTAAGTTCTAATTCAGAGGCTGTATCCTTAACTCCTGTCCTCAGTAGCTACCGATGCCCCTTTCCTCCGAGGATTTGTTCAATCCTTTTTTTTGAATTTGGTTAAACAGTCAGCTTCCACAACATCTGCTGGCAATGAGTTCCACACTTCAATTGCACTTTGTGTGACAGAGAACTTATTTTTGGTTAATTTTCAGCTTACTCCCTACTCGTTTTATGATCATGTTATGATTTTTTTCCCCAGATTCCTAAAATGCAACCTAGCCTTCTTGAACTGGGCACCCACTACTTCATGGAAAGTTATAGCCACACCTCAGTTACACTGTTTTTAACTGTAGCAAAAAACATTAATAGGAGCTGTACTGAGAGAAGCAATGATCAGACAGCCGAGTGGCAGATTGGGTGGCCACCTTTTCCAAACTGGAAGGTGGAAAACATGCCCTCGACCCTGCCCCCTGCCCCTGCTAGAGGCATGGTTGGACTGGAGCTGAGTGGGGCAGGGGTGGGCTGCCCACTGTGGCCTTGGGGCTCCCAAGCCTTCTACCCTTTCCCTGGGAGCCCTGCACTGCCCATACGTCCCCTGCCCACCTGGCAGCAATAAGAGGAACAACTGCATACTATTGCCACCCTGGCTGCTGCCACAGTGTCATGGGGCTCCCAGGGGAAGGGCAGCAGCAGGGAGCCCTGAACCCGTAGCAGGCAGCCTACATCTGCCCCTGCCCCGTGCACAAATCTGGGAGGCATGTCCCCACACCATACTCCCCCCCACAAGGAGTGCATGCCCTCGCCCAATCCCCCTGGATGAGCTGCCTGTGGCTCTGTTCTGCTCCAGCCCAGGGGCCCCATGCACCACCCTGGCTGGGCAGTGTCCTGAGCCTCACTCCCTCCCTCAACATGGGCACCTTAATCTGCTGCCCCCAACCCCATATACTTACCTGCAGAGAGTTGCTCCTCACACTGCCTGGCTGTTTCCTGTCCATGTGCAGGTGTGCACAGGTGTGTGGTGCCCCCTATGTTACCAGATTTGCCCACTACTTTGGGGTGTGCTCATTTATTAGGGCTAGGGTCTTGGTAATTCTATTAATGTGCTGCTTGTGTTACTGGTGTTTCTATACGGAGCTGTATCTCTCCCCCTGCAAACCCTCACCCCCAATGGAGCTATCTTGCAGGACTCAGTTCAGCGGGGCTGGGTTGCTCCAGTCCCCAAATCAGTCACACACACAAACACACACAGATTAACGTGACACACCTGACCTGGCCGGGTTGATCAGCATGGACAGGCTGACACCCTCATATGCCAAGAATCAGTTCATCAGAGCAACAATAAC